CTACTAGAAATAGGCCAATTTACGACGGACCAGTTCCGACGGAATTAAAATCTGTCGGAAATTTACGACGGATTTCCTACGGAATACAAATCCATTGGAATTTATTCCGTCGGAAACTTAATCTTTCGACGGAAATGAAATCCGTCGGAAATTTCCCAGGGAATTTTCCGTCGGAACATTATGTTTCCAACGGAAAATTCCGTCGGAATATAATTAAATAATAAAAAAAAAACACAAACCTAAAAAACCCTACAAAACCCGGTTCCCCCTCCCTCCCCTAACATTTCGGTTTTCTCTCTCCTTTCCTCCCCGCCTCTCTTCTCTTTCTTTCTCCTCTCTTTCCTTCTCTTTCTCCTTCCTCGCCCCTTTCTCTCTCCTCTCCTTCCTTTTCTTTCTCCTTCCTTCTCTTTTCTTTCTCCTTCCTCGGCCCTTCTCCTTCCTCGCCCCTTTCTCTCTCTTCTCCTTCCTTCTCTTTCTCCTTCCTCTATACGCCCCCTCACCTTCCTCTATTTGGAATTTTGTGATGGCGTTTTCCGGCGGATGGTGTGACGGCGAGTGGTGTGACGTTATGAATGGGTTTTTTTGTCAAATTTGACCATGAAAAAGTCTAGATCTAGACTTTTTCATGGTCAAATTTGGCCTTAATAAACCAAATTCGAATTCAATTTGGGTTTTAAGGTATGTTTTTGTGTTATTAATATTTTTTTTGTTTGATTTTTTGTACGAATTTGGTTTGGTTTTGTTGTTGATTTGTTGTACGAATTTGGTTTGATTTTTTTTTTGTTCGAATTTGGTTTGATTTTTTTTACGAATTTGGGTTGATTTTTTTGTTGATTTTCTTAACGAATTTTTTGTTGATTTTTTGTACGAATTTGGGTTTTCTGGGTTATAATTCGGGTGGTGGGTTATGTTTTTCGGGTTAGGGTGAGGGTGGTGGGTGGGTTTTTCGAGTTAGGGTAGTGGGTGTGGGTGGTTTGGGTAGGTGGGTATGGGTATGGGTGGGGGTGGGGGTGGGTGGGGGTGGGTGGTCTGGGCAGGTGGGTGTGGGTGGTCTGGGCAGGTGGGTGTGGGTGGGGGTGGGGGGCTGTTTTTTTTATTGAATTTTCCGTCGGAATATGCCGTTTTCGACGGAACATTCCTTCGGAAAATTCCTCTTCCGACGGAAAATTCCGTCGGATTCCACTTCAACTCCGACAACGTGTTCCGGCGGAAATTTGCGACGGAATTACGGTAAAAGTCAAAACCAGCCCCGACAGAATATATTTCGTCGGTAAGGCCTTTTCCGACGGAAAATCCCTCGGTATAAGCCAAATTTCCTACAAAGGGGTTTTCGACAACGTGTTCCGACGGAAACAACCTTTTCCGACGGATTTATAAGGTGTACCGACGGAATTTTTCCGTCGTAAATAAGGTGTTTTCTAGTAGTGGAAAACAACCATGTGTGTTGCTTCCCTTCTTGCCGCAAACCCACCATAGCCACGACGACGACAACGACGTTGCTGCTAGTAGTGCTTGTCGGAGTTGAAATCAAATGGAGATTGAGAGGAGAGAGAAAGAGCCAAGTTGGGAAGAAGGAGGTAGAATGTTGAAGAAGTAGGGTTTTCATTCATCATGTCTGATGAATTGATGAACATCTATGGATTTAATTGAAGGAAAATAAATTTGGTAGGTAGGAAAATGATTTAATTTTTGGTGTGAGCTGTTAGATTAACATTCAGATTAAGTTATTAGTGTAATGTAATTAATTATCTAAGTGATGTTTAATTTTTTAAATAAGGGCAATATTGACATATTAAGCAAAAAAAAAAACAAAAAAAAAAACTTATCAAAAAGGGAATGATTTGGGAAAGTTGCAACTAATACTAAGCATCCAAATATATGTATTAAATCGCACATGTCATTCTTAGCTTTAGGGTGTCTTTATCGCAAGTCTGAAACGGAGTCTCAAGAAGAGTTTCATGCAAGACTTTGACAATAATGTCATAAAAGACTATCACGAGTCTTGCATGCGGTTTGGCAGATAAAAACCCATCTTAAGACTATGCATGTGGGGGCAATAAGCTAACAAAGTTTGCATGGCCAATAATATATTACCAACTCAACACAAGTTGTTGAATAATTAATGTTAGTATTTAGGAGGGTAAATGAGTTTGGAGTGGCCAATAATATATTGCCAACTCAACACAAGTTGTTGAATAATTAATGTTAGGGGCCGTTTGGTTCGCTATAATGGGGAAAAGGAATGGGAATGATTTCCTTTGTAAGTGTTTGTTTTGCATCTTTTGTCATTCCCATTCTTCATTTTTATTTTTAGGTTTACCCAAAATTGTTCTAAACTCATTCCCCACCCCCTACTTTTTTCATTCCCTTTCCTTAGCCACCCCTCCACCACCACACACACTAGCCACCACCCTTTTACCTTACCCCCACCACCCAACTGCCACCTAGTCGCACCTCCACCGCCATCACCTCCCTTTCCCCGATCGTTGCCACCCATCGATAAGCCTCCCCTCCCCTAAAAACCTTCTCCCACCGCACAAATAACTCGTCGCCCTTCTTCGCCGCCCCTTCCCCGAGCATCTCACCGCCCTGCCACCACCCAGCTACCCTCGCCGCACCTCACCTTCCTCTCGTTGCCCTTCTTTGCCGCCCAAAAACCCTTCCCCTTCCCCCGAAAACCTTCCACTACCCTCGAAAAACCCTAGAAATCTCTCCTCCTCCCTGTAAAAACCGTTGACCACCCTCGAAACCCTAGGTTGGCGGTTTTTATAGGGATGAGGAGGGATTTCTAGGGTTTTTCGAGGGTAGGGAAAGGTTTTGGGGGGAGGATGCACTACTAGAAAACAGCCAATCAACGACGGGAAAAATCCGTCGGAAAACCCTGAAATTCTGTCGGAAATGCCCATTTCCAATGGAATTCTGTCTGAAGGCATCGTCGCAATACCTTTTGTAGGAATTTCGGGATATTTCGAGGGAAATTCCGTCGGAAAGGTCCATTCCGACGGATTTTGTTATGTCAGAGTCAGGTTTGACTTAATTGGAAATTCCGTCGCAAGGTTCCGACGGATCATTTCCGTCGGTATGAGTTACGTTCCGACGGAAAATTCTGTCGGAATAAACCACTTTCGACGGAATTTTCCGTCGGAAAAGGCAATAAAAAAAAAATTCCCCACCCAAACCCACCCCCGCCACCTGCCCACATCACCCACCACCACCCCCCCCCCCCACACACAGACCCCCCACACACCCAAACCACCCCCACCAGCCACCCTAAACTAAACCCACCCACCCAGACCACCCCCTGCCACCACCACACCCACAAACTTCACCCACCCCATCTAACCCTAACCAAACCACCCCAAGCCAGACCACCCTAAACTAAACCCACCCACCCAAACCACCAACACCCCAGACCACCCCCTGCCACCACCACAACCACAAACTTCACCCACCCCACCTAACCCTAACCAAACCACCCTCACCAACCACCCAAAACTAAACCCACCCACCCAGGCCACCCCCACCCAGACAACCCCTTGCCACCACCACTCCCACGAACTTCACCCACCCCACCTAACCCTAACCAAACCACCCCAAGCCAGACCACCCCCACCCACCATCACACCCACAAACCGAACCACCCCCACCACCCCACCCAACCAAAACCCTAACCCTCCCGAAAAAACGAAAAAAAAAACTCACCGAATTCGTACAAAAAAAAAACAAAAATTACAAACACAAAAACATACCTTAAAACTTGAATTGAGTTCGAGTTTGGTTTATTAAGGCCAAATTTGACCATGAAAAGTCTAGATCTACACTTTTCATGGTCAAATTTGACCAAAAAAACATTAAATCGTACACGAAGGAGAAGGAGCGAGGAAGGAGAAAGGGGAAGGAGAAAAGGGGCGAGGAATGAGAAAGGGGAAGGATACAGGGGCGAGGAAGGAGAAAGGGGAAGAAGAAAAGGGCGGGGAAGGAGGAAGGGGCGAGGAAGGAGAAAGGGGAAGGAGAAAAGGGGCGAGGAAGGAGAAATGGCGAGGAAGGAGAAGGAAAAGAAGGAGGAGGAGAGAGAAAGAAAAGAAAGAGGAGGAGGAGATCAGAGAAAAAGGGGAAGGAGGAGAGAGAAAGGGAGAAGATGAGAGGAGAGGAGAGAGATAGGGAAAAGAGGTGAAATTTTTTATTAGGGTTCCCAAAGAAACTTCTGGATTTTTTTTTATATAGTAGAACATTCCGACGGATTTTTCCGTCGGATAAAAAATCCGTCGGAATATTTAGGTTTTCCGAGGGTATATTCCGTAGGAAAATTCCGACGGATTTAAATTCCGTAGGAAAACTAAATTTCCGACGGAATATTCCGTCAGAAGCCTATTATTCCGAGGGAATTAACTTCCGTCGCAAAAATTCCGACGGATTTTTCCGTCGTAACGAACCTTTTCCGACGGATTGTTCCGACAGACCCTAATTCCGTCGGAAAGTTAGGATTTTCCGACGGAATTTAGGTCCGTCGGAACGATTCCCTCGGAAAACGGCCTATTTCTAGTAGTGATGGGGTTTTTGGGCGGCGAGGAACGGCGACGATGGGTGGTGGAGGTGCGACTAGGGGCGGCGAGTATGACTAGGTGGTGGCTGGGTGGTGGGCTAGTTGGGTGATGGCTGGAAATTTGAAGGAATGAGTTGTTTGTGTGGATGTGTGGTGGTGGATTGGTGGCTCCATTCCTTTTTTTTTTTTAAAAAAAAAACCAAACAACATACTACTTGGAATGATTTCATTCCATTCTCTTTTATTCCCTTAGTTCATTCTATTCTGATTACCCCTGCGAACCAAACGACCGCTTAGTATTTAGGAGGGTAAATGAATTTGGAGTGAGTCTTGGAATAATGTGTGAAAATGGAAAAAATCTTGTGTAATTCTAAATAATAAAAAAGTAATTAAAAGTTACTAAAAAACTGATATGGCAGACTTTGGAGTCAGAATCTGATTTGGGATAAACTCACCCTTAGTTTTGGAACTTTAGTCAGATAAAACCTAAAGTACTACATTGAGCAGCCGTTCGCAATTCGCACAGAAAATACAGAACCGCTTTCGTTTTCTCTTCAATTGTGTTCTGGAATCTACATACTCTCAATTCTCCATTGAAGCGGCTTCCGAGCTTTCTCTCCTCCATTGAAACAGCTTCTGAGGTCAGTTTCTTTTAATCATCGAAATTCGATTTCACAATCTAGGGTTTAGTTTCACACTTTCGTTGCTTTAATTCTTAGTATAGTCTATTCAGGGTTTTTTTTTTTAATTTTTTTTTTTTTTTAAAGTGTATTGATTATTGAACTAGTGTGATTTTTTTCACGCTTTTAATCATCGAATATTAACTTCACAATTTAGTGTTAATTGTCAGTGTAGTTGATTTAGGGTTCGTGGATTGTTGAACTATTGGTAATTTTTTTAAATTATTGTTAATCATAAAACTCTATTTCACTATCTAGTGTTAATTGTTGATTAATTCAATTTAGCGTTTTTCTAAGGTGGATTATTTAACTATTGGTTATGATAATTGGAAGATTATAGCCAGAAATTTTGTTGTTGTTGGGATTTTTTTATTTTTTTTTAATTTTTTTTATATGGATTAATATTTTTAGTCATCGAATATTAACTTCACAATCTAGTGTTAATCGTTAAGTTTATTGTCAGTGTAGTTGATTTAGGGTTCGTGGATTATTGAACTATTGGTATTTTTTTTTTTTTTTTTACTATCTAATCATAAATTTATGTTTTTCACTATCTAGTGTTAATCGTTGATTAAATTCAATTTAGCATTCTTCTGAGGTGGATTATTGAACTATTGGTTATGATAATTGAAAGATTATAGCCAGAAGTTTTTTATTATTCATATTCTTAAACGCGAAGAATTTAATATGATTACTGAGTTCAATTTGATGGTTGTTAATGTGTTCAGAACCCTTTGATTGTAAGTTAGGACAGATATATATAAATTTCTCCCTCCTGCCCTGGCTCGGGGATGAGCTTGACTGCATATTCTATAAACATTAGTGATTTAGTTGATGGATTTGACCCGGTTGTTCGACTTTGACATTTACATGGGAGATGCTGATGTCTGTATTATTGGTGTTAACGAAGGATGTTTTTGTTGTCCTTGCAGTATAACTTAAGTTGCTTTATCCTAATATCAAGCATGGGTGACAGTGAAGCAGTTGTTGCTCAACCACCTACTGTTATGAGTGATACGTCGAATATGTATCCTTCTAGTGATCCTATGGATGTTAAGTTAAGTGCTCCTGAGGATGCTGCTATCCCTGTGAGCGCTGAAGATTTAGCGGAGGCAAATGCTAATTCAGATGCTATGAATTCAGATATTGATCCAACTTCGAAGCCTTCTATTGGAGAAGATGTGAACCCGGCTTCTGTAGCAGGTGAAAGCACTTCCATGGAACCAAACCAGGCGGCTGTTTATGATGCAAGTGCTAATGGGGTGGTTGATGGTCTTTCAAATGGAAATGCAACTGGCTTGCATGAGGTGCAAGCAACAACAGTTGAACAACAGTTTGAGGATGGTTCAGGTATCTTTTTTAATTCAGCTTTCTCTTGTTGAATGTTGAGGGCTGTGTCACAGCTTATGAAGTACCTGTTCAGGATGTTGCCTATTCATTTCTATGAAGTTATTATGCCAGCAATAATAAAGTCAATGATTTGGAAGATTGGATCATGCTTCTGTTGTAATATAAATATCATGCCTTTTGTGTCAACAGTGATGAATATCTTGGATTTTCTGTTGCACAGAATTGCTTGTCTTGTTTTCCTTTTTCTTTTTTGCGATTGGCTGATGAGCTACTCTTTATTTTTGTTCTAGCTTTATCTGCTGAAGAAGAACGTTTATGGAGCATAGTCAAAACCAATTCTTTAGATTTCAATGTATGGACGTCACTAATTGAAGAAACAGAAAGGGTGGCACAGGTATTATATGTTGCTTTTCTTAGTGGATTTGTATGGATTTTATTGTAATATCTTTCTTTTATCCAAAAAAAAAAAAAAAAAAAAAAACCCAGTTACATGCATCATGTTGCTCTCTGTTGTTCATGGTGTAACTTGAAAAACCTGTATACAAGTTACAATTGAGTGGTACACAGAGTAAAAAGAAAGCATAATTTTATAGTTAAGGGGACTGGACCTAATTTTTTCTGTATCCAGATAAATATATTTGAGAAACTTTCTTTCTGAAGGGGTTTGGCATAAGTGAAGCCTGTAGACTGTTTTTGATGGCAAGTTCTCTAGCATATTATCACACTATTACATTCTTTTGTTGTAGGCTTCTCTATCATGGATATTAGTAGGCCATCTTTAATTTGCTGATGAAAGATAAAGTGTTGGTGAACATTTTAGTATATGCATTGATTACATCTTATAAGCGTATTTCCATGATAGCAATGTGATATAAAAAGGCTGAAAGCTAAGTTGTTTAGACATCTTTTGCACAATGGGTTAATTTAAGTGCAAGGGGATAAAGGGGCATTTTTTTTAGCAGCCAGTACATGTTGTATTGCCATCAGCCCATCAGTACCCCATTTGACTCTTGTTAGTGTTTGACGTATGATATATTTTCATACAGAATGTGGTTGTTCCATAATTAGATAGTTTGACTTATATATTAACATGGCCTTCTGGTTTTAATATGCAGGACAATATCTTAAAAATTAGAAAAGTGTATGATGCTTTTCTCGCAGAGTTTCCCTTGTGTTATGGTTATTGGAAGAAGTATGCTGATCATGAAGCGCGATTTGGAGATATTAACAAAGTCGTGGAGGTGTATGAACGAGCCGTTCAAGGGGTGACATATTCTGTTGATATCTGGCTGCATTATTGTGTGTTCACAATTACCACATATGGAGACCCTGACACTGTTAGAAGGTAATTTCCCATTTAGTGGTTTGTGTTATTGCATAGGCCCTCTTGAGTGCTTGGATTTCTGATTGTGGACATGGTCCTTTCTGCTCTCTAACCCCATTTTGGTGTGGCTGCGACAGCGAACTCTCACGTGTATGGTGGAAAGGTTTTGGGAGTTTCACCTCAGATCTTTATAGTTCTGACTTGCAAACTCATAGCAGTGTGTTTTACTTCTTAATATGCTCTCTTATGCCCTGGATCTCCCTCCCAAATACATTTCTTGTCATTTTGTAATCCAATTAATTCAAAAAAATATTGTTCTTGTTAACTTTGACTATTGAGGAGCATCAATTTTCAAAATGCTGCTGGGGAGATCTCGTGCATTAAATGGCTAAGATAAGATGACCTCCATATCAGAGAAGTAGTTTTATACAGGAAGGTAAATTCAGCATATTTGAGCTCTTTGGAAGTGTCCTGTGGTCTTAAGTGCTTTCATCATCGTCCCAAACATTTGGGCTGTTTCCCCAAAAATTAGACTTTTGTAGATAGTGGTTGTTGTTATTTTAAGTTTATATGCCCATCATGCTCTCCTTTTTGTTGTAGGCTGTTTGAGCGAGCATTGGCGTATGTTGGAACTGATTACCTATCTTACCCTCTTTGGGATAAGTATATTGAATATGAATATACACAGCAGCAATGGGCACATCTTGCATCAATATATACGAGGATATTGGAGAATCCCAATCAACAGTTAGATCGCTATTTAACAAGGTTAGTTCCTGTGTTTGTTTCTCTTGACGATTATGAATTTTAAGCTAGTTTTTTTTTTTTTTTTTTTTTTTTTTTTTTTTTTTTTTTTTTTTTTGGGAAAGATATGATTGGTTTGCTCAGTGAACTTTGAGGCTTTAGCATCTTCTCCAAGTTCCAACCTGTCTGTTTTCGTTGTAATGATCTGTGAGATTTCATGAACCCAAGTTGGGAAATTGAGAAATGAAAGCTTTCAGTACATGGATAGCTGGCAATCTGTGTTTCCTGTCAGATTTGATGTATTAGTGCTTGAAAGTGAACAAATGGCTGCAAGTACACCACACAAGTCACTCTCCATTTCTGGAAATAAAACTTCAGTTGATTACTTTCCATTTCCTACAAAGACTATGAACTAATCCGTTCATAAATTGAAAGCAAATTCTCCTCTTGCCAAATATCTAATCAGGCTTTGTTTGGTTCATTTGATTTTTGTCCAAAGTATTATTTTATCTGTACTTATCTGAAATTATATTAAGTACTCAAAAATCGTGTCTGAAATTTTATGAAAAGCTTATTTTTATTGAACTTATTTTTATTAGAAATTAGATACAATAACATGAAACAAATAGGCCTTAATTGATATTATAAAGTTGTTGAATTATATAGTTTTTGGCTCCAATTGTATAGCTAAATGAAAAAAATGGAAGGGAATTTTTTTTTTTTTACAAGGGCATTACTGGGGCAAACTAGATTTACTAAAAGCTTCGTAAACAATCGCTGACTTTTCTTAAAATTCTTAGTGCGAGGGACATTAAGTAGGATTTTTTCAATCTTCGTCTATACATGTGAACCCTTGTTTGTTGCTGCTAGTCTCTTTATGCAATCAAAGCTGGGGAATCTATCTTTGTGATCTTGAAAACGGTGCACTGCTGTGGACTTGTGGTAGTACATTCACTTATAGAAGGCGCGTGGCCAAGGTACTACATGGGCACGTGAAAGGAATGACACGACACATTACTGTGAGTGCTGGCAACTTGTGCCTGACTACATGGCCACTTTTTTGTTGCAAAAACTCATGGCCCAGCATTCAAAGTATGAAGGTGAAATTTAGTTTGGGCACATAAGGTATGGTGGTTGTGGGGATTTGGGTGTAGGGCATACTTGGGACGCACTTTTGAAATATGTGGCAAGACACATAGCTAGTGGGCTGGGTTAAAAGACTAAGGCATGCAGGCTAGGCATGAAAAACGGCACATCTCCACCCATAGCTATCCTTACATTCATTGAACCCCCTTGCCTTGTGCCAACCTTATTTCTTTCTTTATTTGAGAAGAGTGGTTTGTAACTTCCTATCTTGCTTTTTATGGGTACTCCCCTCTAGCATTAAGCTTTTCTAGCCTATGTCATCCTTTAGAATGCTGTATAAACAGAATTACAATCCTGGTGACTGGTGCATAGTAGAATTTTAGTTTTCAACTCTGTTATGTGTGGTGCGTTGTAATCTGGCTAGTTTGAGTGTGTAGAATGGTAATGTTATTTCATATATTCAAGCGGTAATTGTTTGTATATTTAAGCCTTTTTGTTTACTTTTCTGAATCACAGTTTCAAGGAGTTAGCTGGCAGCCGGCCTCTGGCAGAGCTTAGAACTACTGAAGAAGCAGCAGCAGCAGCTGCTGCTGCTGCCATTACTGCCAGTTCAGATACTGATGTTCAAGAATCTGACAAGGATGGTAATCCTGATACAATGGAAGAATCTTCTAAACCTGTAAGTTCTGGATTAACAGAAGCTGAAGAATTGGAGAAGTATATCGCAATTAGAGAAGAGATATATAAGAAAGCTAAGGAGGCCGATTCTAAGATCATTGGTTTTGAAACAGCTATTAGAAGGCCGTACTTTCATGTACGGCCCTTGAATGATGCAGAACTAGAAAACTGGCATAACTATCTGGATTTCATTGAAGTAGAAGGGGACGTCAACAAGGTAACTGGATTTGTTTTGTGTGATCATATCTTGTTTCCGAAATTTACTAGATCTTTAGTTGCCCTCGTTATATATTGACTTACAGTTAAGTAATATCTGCTGCACCGTATGCATTTTTGGCTAAACCGGTTGATGAAGCAACTATTAAAACGGGATATTGTACTGAGACTAAAGCCTGGGCATTCGATATGGTTTCTATAAGGCTAAGTACTTCAAACCTTCATTGTGAGTCGATGTTCTGGGTTCATGATGTGTTGTCTAATAAGATTTCGTGTTTTTAAAAAATTCCAATGTTATGAATGCAGGTATCTTCTTATCCTAACCATGTATCTGTCAGGCTTGGAGGGTCCCTCCTTTGATATTGAGGGGCCTCCTTATTTCCACCAATGGAGTATTCCTTATGCGCATCTCTTTCTTGATTCTATATTTTCCCTTTATTGTCTGTACTTTGGGTATGTTTGTTGTATGTTGCAATGTTTGATGTGTTGCTATTTTGCAAGTCAGATCTTCAAGCTATATGAAAGATGCCTTGTAGCATGTGCTAATTATCCCGAGTTTTGGATACGATACATTATGTTTATGGAAGGAAGTGGAAGCATTGATCTTGCTGATAATGCACTTGCTCGTGCTACCCAAGTTTTTGTGAAGGTAATAGATTTTGTTTGTGGTGGTTGGTTTAAATCCTATGCTTGTTTATGTATTGATGTTAATCATACCTTGAAGAACATAATCATTCCAATTTTGGACAAGTTCTCTCTTTATAGATGATTATCTCAATTCGCAGACATTTATGCAAGCATGCTCATTGTAGATAGGTTTGGTTTATAGATACGACTCTTAATGCTCTGTCCTTAATATTAAGTTTCAAAAGATACCATTATACAGAGCTTATAATGCCAGGAGACAAAGAGGCTGTGTGTGAGTTGTGAGCTGGTAGTTCATGTGTTAGTGTGTCAGATACAATGTTTATTTTTACTGAATCAGTAGTTACCATGAAAAGCTAGATCTGCATTACAGCTGTCATATTTTTGTAATTTGAGAGAAGTAAAGGTTCGAAAAGCAAGAATAAATGGCTGATTCTAATGTTTCTTTAATTTGCTTGCTTGGCTCATTAATTAATCTATAGTTCATCTCCATACTTCAATTTTTTGTCATACATTCAAATGGTGTATGACCACATAGACTTGTCTTTTAAGGATTAAGTTATATCATTGATGCTTTTTTAATTGAAGATACTAAGTGGTTTGTTTTTTTTTTTTTTTTTTTTTTTTTTTAATGCGTTAATTTGTTCAGAGGCAACCTGAGATTCACCTTTTTGCTGCTCGCATTAAAGAGCAACGTGGTGATGTTCCTGGAGCTCGTGGTGCCTATCATCTTGTCCACACTGAGATCTCTCCTGGGCTTTTGGAGGCCACCATTGAACATGCAAACATGGAGCGGAGGCTGGTATAAATACTTTGAAGATGTTTAGCTTATATTCTTATAATAATTGTTCAATATATAGATGCTCTCTAATCATTGGTTTCTTTGAATCATCAGGGAAATATGGAAGACGCTTTCTCATTATATGAACAAGCTATTGCCATTGAGAAAGGAAAAGAACATTCTCAGTCCTTACCAATGTTGTTTGCCCAGTATTCTCGGTTTGTTTATCTGGTAAGTTTCACATTGTCTTAAAATTTGTGCTGGCTTAATTTTGTATCAATGTTACATAGTAATGTGGTTCTATTCTTTACGGCCATACGGGAGTATTTGGGACGTGTGGTTCTACAAATTGGTTGTAGTCGTCATGGGCAACAATCTGATTTGCATATTTTTGTACTGTAGAATGACATGTACTGTTTAGGTGTTGTGCTTCTTGTGACATACACATCTGTTTGCCAACAATCTGACTTTAGCTCTGGGTGCTTGTTAACTATGCTTTGTTTTCCTGAAATGGTTGTACAATTATTATCGCTTTTGCAAGGTAGTTTGGATTGTGATCTCTCATAAGATTGTTGGCAATCATAATCAGCATATTAGATTACAATCTGATAATTCTACAAGCTCCCAGAAATATGTAATGTTACTGAAGATCAACACTAACCTGACGTCATATTCTTAATTGTGATTGTTAATATGCGTATATTTTTGTGAAGTTTTGAACAGCATCTCCTATGTTTATTTACTAAAAATTGTAATATCTGAATCGAATAAAATAAAACATCACACTAGTCCCAACAGTTTAGCTGAGGAGTATCAAATTTACAATTGCATGCAGCCTTAAACTCCAACTCTTATTTGGAGACAATGCCTACTCTGTTTGAACCTTTAGAGCCTGTGACCTCTGTGGGGCAATCTTCCTGTTAACCTCATTTTTTTTTCTCAGCTTGCCATTATTTTACTCACAATGAGGTAATGCTGTGTCATGTTCTAATATGTTCTAATATCTGTGCTATCTTAAGGTTCTTAATGGGCTAACAGTGTCTTTGTCTTGCTTTGTTTTGTAGGTTTATGGAAATGCTGAAAAAGCTCGAGATATTCTTGTTGGAGCTCTTGATCATGTCCAATTGTCAAAGCCACTTTTGGAGGTACATTTTATTGATATTTGGAAACATAATGGTGTTTATACACCTATAAGAATACATATATAAAGATTTCATAAACTCAGCAGTCCTAAATGCCATAAATTGTTTTTTTGAAGAAGAGATATTCTTGCTGTCCAGACTGAAGTTGAGACAGGAAAAGAGGGATTCTTTTGCTGCTCTTATGAAAGTTGTTTCCATCATGCAGGCATTAATACATTTGGAATCTATCCAGTCACTCCCAAAACAAATTGATTATATGGATTCTTTGGTTGATAAGTACCTGGCTCCAGTGCCTGATAGTTCTGATGCTGCCAGTATACTTGAAAGAGAAGAATTATCAAGCATATATATGGAGGTAACTACTAGTTATATTATTTTTCTGAAAGATAATGAATTTTTTTTCATTTGTTTCTATTTTTAGCTGAAGTGACCAAGCTGTAATAGTATAGACTTCGGTTTGTCTGGTGTCCCACTTACCAATCCCCTCCCCCACCTCCCTTTTCTGATTGGATTAAGATTTTTATTTTTTTTTATTTTTGGAGTTAAGGATATCAACTCTTAGAATTGACTTATACCACTCTCTTTTGCCACTCCCTCCAACTTTCTATTGTCATTCTTGCCTTGAAGAATGTGAGAGCGAAATGACTTAGCTGTCATTGTACGTCTCAATGATCTGTTGGGGGGTATATATTGGAGAAGCACCTGTTAGCTGGAAACAAGGTTGTCCTCTCTTTGAAAAGGAGATTAGGAGAATAACTGGATTGCAGATAGCTTCCCTTTTTTTTACGGTGTAAAATAAAACCAGTACTTTAATAAGTACACTCTTCTGCTAGGTTGTCCTCGCTTTGATAAGGAGAAAAACTGGATTGCAGACAGCCTGTACCATTTTTTAATACTTCCTCCGTTTCTATTTAGTTGACGCGTTCAATTTAGACACACATATTAAGGAGAGGAAAGAGAATGAGAGAGAATGATAAAGCAAGTGGGGTAGACTAGTAAATGCGAAGAATAAAACTTACCCAAAAAGGAAACGTGTTAACTAAAAATAAACTTCCTAAAAAGGAAAACATGTCAACAAAAAAAAAACAGAGGTATGTAATAAATAATGTACAAGGGATGCTTCGTGCCTGTGAGATGTGCTAATTGATGGTCCTATTAATTTGAAAAGGAATTGAATATATTTTTAGGTGTGATTAATCACTTAATAGTATGCCCCCTTAGATACCAAGAGGTAATAAGGATTGAGATTTTGTACATTCCACTTCCTCAAATCAATATAGTAGGAACTTCATGCTCTATACTGCACTCATTTTTTTAGTTTAAGTGTGGTACATATGTCCACTGCCACTATTGAATTATGGAGATAAGCAATGAAAAGAAATCCTATTTTAGGGTGTACTCATGGAGTTTATTCTGGAACTGGATTCTGCGGCTATGTCAAAATTTCAATTCACTGTCAATATTTGATGTTGTATTGTGTAAATGAATCTGCAGTTTCTGGATCTATTTGGGGATGTACAATCCTTAAAGAAGGCTAAAGATCGGCATGCTAAACTGTTCTTGCGCCACAGAAGACCATCAGAGTCGAGAAAGCGTAGTGCTGATGATTTTTTAACTTCAGACAAAGCAAAACTTGCAAAATCATACTCTGGTGTTCCCTCAACGGCCCCAGCAACATATTCAGCTGCTCAAACTCAATGGGCAGCAGGTTATGGAACACAAGCTCAACCATGGCCACAAGCTGCTCAGACTGCAGGACAACCATATAACTCCACCTATCCCCAACAGGTATGTCTCTGCTCATAAGCTAAGCAAGACATGAGTGCTTTTTTATACATAATGATATGGTTCTTTGAATTTTTGTGTTAGGCTGCATATAGTGGATACTACGGTAACAGCTACGCCCCTCAACCAGTCCCTGCATCAGCACCTCAAACTGCTGCATATGGTGCCTACCCATCAACTTATCCAGCACAGGTATACGAGAGATTGTAATGTCTAGTAGAGAATGGAATAAATTTTGTTGATGAATGACTGAAATCTGAATTAGATATTTGCTGTTATATTCAACCCTGCTTTATGTCTACTTGTAGCAAACATATCTCAACTATGTGAATTGATGTTTTCTTAGCAGGCTTACCCTCAACAACCATATGTGGCACCAGTGGCACCAGTAGCTGCAGCCCCAGCCCCAGCCCCAGCCCCAGCCCCAGCCCCAGCTCAATCTGGTGCTGTTCCTCAAGCATATTATGGTACTTACTATTGAGATGGTCAGGTTAATTCTGTCGTGATTTGTATGTCCGGCTGCTTTATCGTCCCACTGGTTTCAGCATATTTGGCTGCGAGGAACCATTTTTCTGTTGCTCTCACCGCTGGTGACACATGGGAGAAGATGTTCTTTTTGGGAGGGTAGGATTAGGATATCTTGTGAATGATGTCAAATTTTACAATTTACAGAGTACAAGAGTGTAGAAAGAACATATGCCAGTTCCTTGGTTTTTTTGGGTATTCTCAGCATTTTCTAGGCTAGGATGATTAGGTTAGCAAAAAGCACGACAGAACAGTATGTGACTATCGCTTGTATTGTTTTTATTTTTGTTTCTAATGCCTATACTAATTGCCAAATTGATAATCTGTTAGTGTTAACATCATGGTCAAATTTTGATTTAGCCATAGCAGTTGGTGATTTTTGGAAGAATGATCGAAATAATGCATTAACTTGATCGCCACTGCCTTACTGCATAGGCTTTTTTGAAGGTACCTTCCTGGGTGCCTATCTGCTTGAATGCGTGAAGCGTGATGCTTGCTTATGCCTGGTCCCTTGGATTGCATATAATGGTATAAAGATACTCCCTCTGTTTTTGACTTTTTTCTAATGCATCACTTGAGTCACTTTGGTTTGCACAATTACTAATACAACTTTGCAGAACTATTAGATATCTTCAATTATATGCATAACGTACAATCAATATCTTTAATTAGCGAGAGTGAGGGATAGCTCAAGTGGTTAGAGCTCCCCTTCCGGTGTTAGGTGATCCTTGGATCGATTCTCATCATTCGTTCTTGTGGCTCTCTAAACACCAAAAAAATAAAAAATAAAAACTTTAATTAGCTATTGTTACTTTTTTTTAATCCAGTTTGTACAATAGCTAATATATATATATAGGGAGTGGATCATGTGAAAACAAGTGTTAAGCTGAAAACTAAAAACAAGCGATCTTGACCATTGAATTTCATCTAATGGGTTAGATTAGATCTGGTGTATTTAAGTGTTTTGTTACCTAATTTATGACATTATCTCTCTTTTATTTTTACTCTATTTTTCTCTCTCCTCCATCTCACGATCTCCATCTCCCTCCTTCTCTCTCCTTCCCAAATCAAAATCAATGTTGAAAATCATCAAATTACAGAGAAATTTGGTTCAATCTTCATCGATTTCGTCGTTATCTTCGGAAACCCAGCTGCAATTTCTTCGGTTCTTCATCAATTTCTCAATCAACAATCTATTATGTGAGTTAGTCATTTTTCATAATTTGAGTAGATTTCAGATTTTTAATTTTCGATTTTATTTGGCAAATTTATCAAATTTTTTGTTTCTGCGATTTTGTTCGATTTCTTGAGCGATTTTGCGTGTTTTGTTCATCAATTTGGTTCGATTTCCAGTGCGATTTTGCGACTTTTGCTCATCAATTTTTTCGACTTTTTTTCATCAATTTTTTTCGATTTTGTTTGATTTTTGCGATTTCTTGTTCGATTTTGTTCGATTTCCTGTTTTACTAATCGATTAACTTTAGTTTCTTCCTTAATTTCAATGATTTATTCGGTTCAGTCAAGTTTTTCCACCATTGTCAAGTTTTTGTAGTGGAAGAAGAAGCGTATGAGGAGATTTAAGAGGAAGCGCCGAAAGATGAGACATAGATCTTAGTAGAAGAAGATTTACAGCTTTCATGATTTTTCAGTGTTGTTGAAGCTTTTTTCTGGCGCCCATGGCGAATCAACGGTGGCGCCACCACCACCTCCACCACAGCAACACCAGCATCAGCACCTTTCTCGCCGATTTCTTCCCATTGTTACCTCCATCGTCGGCGTCTTCTTCCTCTGCTTCTTCGCTCTCTCGCTTCTCGCTCCTCGTCCTTCTCGCCTCCTTCACCATGGCCACTCTCGCAGCTCATCTTCCATCTCTTCGGTATTCTCTCTCCTCTGACACTATAATTGCAACAATTTTTTTGATTAATTTGTGTTTTTTTCGCTTTGTTTAGGTTGACGATGCTTCCATCGGAGTTTCGATCTCTTCCGTTCTGGTTAGGGCTTCCGATGATTATTTTTGGTTTATTTGAATTCAATTTTGTGATTTTTAAGTGTTGCTTGGATCTGATTTTTTGATTTTGTTGTTTTCTGAAATGTAGGATATTGGAGGAAAATCTAAACATGATATTTGGAGGTCTAGAGATTCTGAATCTTTCTACGGGTTGTAGCAATGCCAGCAGTAAATGAGTCAAAATTGATATAACTACCTTATTTTTGTATATAGTGACCTTAATGTAAATGTGGTCAAAATAAATATAGTTACCCTGTTTTTGTATATAGTGACCTCTAAGTAAATGTGGTCAAATTTGATATAGTTACCTTATTTTTTAATATAGTGACCTCAATGTATATGTTATCAAAATTGATATAGTTACTTCATTTTTGTATATAGTGACCTTTAGGTAAATGTTGTCAAAATTGATAAAGTTACATTATTTTTATACATAGTTACCTTTATGTAAACGTTGTCAAATTGGATAAAATTGTGTTATTTTTTATGTTCTTACCTCTAAACCATTGAGTATGTATAAGGAAAAGTTGGAAAGATCATTTGCTTTAAAACCGTTAGATCTTGTTAGTAATAATGGATGGTTGAGATTTTCTATTTTTAGTTTTGACTATAAGCCCTGTTTCAACGGAACCTCCTCGTATGTGTGTGTGTGTGTATATATATATATATATATATGGGTGTACATAAACAGGACCGGACCTGAAAACCGACCTGAACCAGACCTGATATGGACCTGTATAATCAAGTCCGGTCCCGGTCCTTGAAAATCAAGGTTTCCGAGTAAATTGTGTGTTTTTTTTTTTTTTTTTTTTTTTTTCAAAAATCAAAACACCCCATCCCTGACTTTTCATTTCTAACCCAGTAACCTTAAGTTCCCTAACTCCCTCACTCTCTCTGTCTCTCAGAGTCTCAGCCGACACCCTCCTAGGCCCAGCCTCCCTCCCTCACTCTCTCAGGCGACCACCACGTCCACCAGACGCCCACCGTCCTTCTGCACGCTGCTTCAGCCACCGCGCGAAAAATCCGGGCATTATAAGTTTGTTTTGTTTTTTAATGTAAATCTAATTATATTTGAGTATTTTGTATTCGAAATAATGAATTAAGTGTGAGAATATATGTTTATTCATGTTTCAATTGCTTATAATGATTGTTTGATATTTGCATGTTAAATTTCTTTTTTTTAGTTCATTTCTTTCGAATTCATGTTTTTTTTCTTTTTTTTTTTGGTTTTTTTGAGTTTTAATAACTGCTTTCGATTTCATTTAGTATTTTAGTTCATTTGTTTCGAATTCTTGTTGAATTTTGGTTTCTTTCGAATTGTGAGTTTAATTTTTGTTTTTTCTTTTTTTATTTTGGGGGTGGAGGTATTCGGGGCTGGCTGCTCTAATGGTGATGATTCCTAAGGTGGGTCGAAGAGTAGAGCAACGAAATGGAAGGGGAAGATGAACAGGGGTCTGATTTTTGTTTACTTTGTTTTATTTTCTTTTATTTTCCTTTTCTTTTAATTATTCTCCTTTTTTCCCCTTTCTTAGTTTCCTTTTTATTTATTAGTTTTTAAGAGTTTTATTTCCCCTAATATACCCTAGTGAAAAAGAAAAAGAAAAAAAATACAAAACAAGTCTGTTCAGGTCCAAACCCTTACCGGACCTGATTTTGACCTGTTGAATCAGGTCCGGTCTCTGGTCCTCAAAACCGGTCCGGTCCAGGTCCGGTCTCCGGTCCTCAAAACTGGTCCGGTCCAAGTCCAGTCTGGTTTTGGACCGGTGTACACCCCTATATATATATATATATATATATATATATATATATATATATATATATATATATATATTTATTTATTTATTTATTTATTTAGATTTGGGATCATGTGAGAAGAGGGTTTATGGTGAGAAGTGTAAAAAGCATTATAAGTCGTTAGATTAAAAAATATATGGACAAGATATATGCCACAAGGAGATCATTTTATTTAGGAAATTTTGTGAGAAAAAACCATTTATAACAACTTTTTGTTGGAAAAAACCTTATAAAAATTTTTTGACGACTAAAAACCAGATTGTAAATTTTTGTTGTTGAGGACAACCTGAGATATCCAATCACTCAATTAACCTCTAATTTCCCCTTAATTCTTCTAATTACTCATAACTCTCACTAAACTATTTAATAATTAAGTTAATTTATAAATTAAAAAAAAAAAAAACAAAAACCACCCTCACCACCACCAGGCACCAGCCAGCCACCCTCTCCTTCTCCCCTCCCATGGCAGCAACCCCCTCCCCTATTCCCAGCCGCCGCTAGAACCCCCCACCCCCGCCGACCAACCTCCACCGCCTAACCGATGACCTCCCTTTCCTCTTTACCTTCGCCGTGACTACCCTCCTAAACCCTAACCCAAAAATTCCACCCAATAGAGTGGCCACCGTCACCGCCGCAATCAACGGCGACCCATTTCAGGATACGGAGATTAGTCATCTGGGATTTTGGGTATTTAATAAAATTGCTTAAAGCTCTTCCGAAATTTAGATTCAAAGGGTCCGAAGTTTGTGCGATTTGTTTTGATAATTTGCTGGCGAAATTTGCGATTTCTTTTGGAAGGCGAAATTTGCCGGCAAACCGAGGTAGGGGGAGGTTGACGACAGGTGGTAGGGGCGGCCGTCGCAGGGGAAAGGGAGGGGATTCTAGCCGCCGCGGCTACTGCAGGTGAGGGGGTGGCTAGGGTGAGGGTTAGGGTGTTTTATGTTTTTTTTTAATTAGTATAATTAATTAATTGAGAGTTAAAGGGTAATTAGGGAAAATTAGAGGATAATTATAGTTTTTTGGTTGTGTTCAACAAAAAAAAATTTAGAATCAGGTTTTAGTTTGCCAAAAAAAAATTTAAAAGGTTTTTTTCGACAAAAAAAATGCTTTAAATGTTTTTTTCTGACAAATTTTCCTTTTATTTATCGTTCACGCTGCTTCACTTTTCCCGACTTTCTTAAGAATCTTAACCTACTTTCTCTCGCATCCTTGACCCAACCTCCATTACATCGTAAATCCAATAATCATATCCCAATTTTTTTCTAAACAATTGAAACTCCCTTTTTCTCTTAGCTCTCCTACCCCTTTTCTTTCTCTCTCCTCTGTTAAGATTTTTTTGCTGAATATTAGGAATGACAAAATTTGAGATATATTAGTTTTTAGGTCCATATGTTAAGGAAAAAAAAATTGATTTATCTAAAGTTGATTTCAATGTATCTGTATTGTACATTGGGTGTATCTTTAATGTTCTTTCAATGCAGCTAGAGCTGACAACAAATCAGCAACTTAACCTCTGTTTTAACACTATACTATT